AGCTCACAGACCAAAGTCCATAGAGAAAATCAGTGATTTCAGCTCACAGACCAAAGATTTCAGAGGAAATTATTTATTTTAGCTCATCAACTGCTGGGTCTCTGAAAATTTAGACTACTTTTTGTACATTTTTGGAGATAAATTTAGCTTTTTTTGTAGATTATTTAAGTGTGTTGTTTTCTACTTGATGGTATTTAACATCAGGTTGTAACATTTTTAGACAACTCTTTGGTTAAATTACATTAATTGTTAGACCTAGACCTCAGCTATAGCTGTAGTTTTTTAAGACTATATTTCAGGTTTACTTTAGCAACAGCGAACATGTCACTCTTGAAGCTCACTTTACTTTGTCACCAAGTGATACTTCACCAAATGATTTAATGGAGATAAAAAAATGATGCAAGATAACTGTGATGTTTAATGCAATAAAAATAATTTATTTATACTGATATAATTATTAATTTCATGACATTGGCATTGCTGAGCAGTGAACAGAAGAGAGGAGAACATCATCCTCATCTGGGCTACATCATCACACCATTGGATGGGGGGGTTAGAGAGTAATATTTCAATAGTACGGTCAATTTACAGAATATTCCTTTTAATATATCTTCCATTCACAGAGGATTAACAAAAATAGAATAAACTCATTTTACTTTCTCTATTCTCTGCTTCTTTATAAACCTGAAATCTTTTATCGAATTCATGGGTTACATCCCATTATTGTTGTGGGAGAGTGGGCTGGGTCACGTCATGGTGGCAGGGAGTTACAGGTGGAGTTTCTCCACCACAGGAAATAAGATTCTTTACTCTGGATACTTTAGGTTTCTTCTAAGATCTGTCCTTTTCTGGACGCTTTTTATAGGTACATATACAGGATTCTGGTTACCAAATGTGGACCAGACAACTGTTTATGTGGCCCACACCTGAAGCCATGCCTACTCTCATTGATATTTTCACTCTCCCATAAAAATAAAAACATAAAAATATTTGTTTCTAACATCACCCTGTGTCTTAATTTCAAAGTAAAACTCCTACATTGCTTTCATGTCTGGCCCACTAGTGGGCCACACATCTTTCTTTCATTTGTCCTGTAGACCGCATGAATCATGGGCCTTAAGGCACCCAGATGGATTCCAGACTGTGGGTCACATCTCTTGATCAACTCTCTCACCAGGCAGGTGTCTATGATCAAACACCGGGTCAGAAGAACACGGCCCACATTCTGGGTACCAGATGTGGACCACACAGGTTTGCTTGTCCAACAGAGAAGCATAAAAATGTGGGCCGTGCTGGATCCCAGATGTGGACCCGAGTGTATCAAGGCCAACACACACAAAAAAAATCACGTGACCCACATTCTGGATACTACATGTGGCCTACTAAGACTCAGACCAAACTCTATTTAAAGAAGGTGGATTTTTTTAGCCATTTGTCCAGGGTTTTGTGAAGGTTTTTTTTCAGTTTTCTCTCAGCTGAGTTTGTTGGTTTCATCATCATGAATCATCGTCATTAAAAAGGTAGAAAATAAAAAAAGAACAATTCAGTTTACAAGGCAAACAAACACAAAGTTTTACAGCTTTTTCTTCATTCACCAAGAATTTAAAACAAGCCTTCGTAAATGTTTACACGTTGTTCTTCAAATTCTTTAGATGAGGATGAACAACCAAAGAAGAGAGTGTGTGACGTCTTCATCCACTAGGGGGAGCTCTGAGCCAGTAGCACCGGAAACAGTTGGGATGTGGGGGAAAAAAGCTTGTCCTGTTCTCTCTGATGTGGTCAGGGTCATGCAGGTTTTAGGATCTGGGTTGGGAGGTGGAGGTCAGAGGTTTGACTCCGAACAGACGACATTACAGATGGAACAGAACCTTTGGTGAGGGGATCCAGAACCCGGAGAGCTTGGCTGCTGGTCCACTGTACAAAAGATGAGCATGTCCATCAGTGAAGAACATCCAGCCTGTCCATCTGTCCATCCATCCGTCCATCCATCTATCCAAGATCAGATCTTTCATTAGGGAGAGAGAAGGGAAAAAGGACGGCTGACATAAAATAAATAAAAAACAAAAACCAAACAAAGAAGCGAAGATGAGGTAACTTTTATGATTATGGATGGACAAACCGCTGAGAACGTTTTCACTGACTCTTCTTTGACACGTCTGCTTCCTGCACATTCCTCTAACAGAACCTCCTTCAGGAGCCAAGCCTTTTATGGTTCCATGATGTGAGTATGAAGGAAACACACACACACACACACACTGAAGTGGGTCTCCTCGGGTTCTAGTTCTGCTTCCATCATCGGAGACTAAACGTGAATAAAAACCCTGTTTGAAAATAAATCCTGTTTCACTGTTTCTGAACAGAAACTCCACAGGAACGCCGTCGTTCACACAAACATCAGCGATGCCTGAAATCCATGGCATCCCCTGGTACTCTGCGTCTTTGTCCTCCAGGGGGTGATGTTAAGCTCTTTCCAGATATGGACACTTTTTTTTTCTTTTGTACAGAATATATTCCAGAAAATCCCAGAACACGGAAAAGAACGTGGACAGTTAGTCCAAAAACAAAGTGACAGATCAAAACGAGTGTAAACGTGTAATGAGCTCCATGGGGAAAAAAGTGCTTTTGTTGTTTTAGTCCGACATTTCGTCATCCATTGGCTGTGTGTGTGGAATGTTTTGTAAAGATTCAGGTTCATGTTTGTCACAGGAGTAAAGGAACATCATTCCTTGTTCCTTGTCTTTGGTGGGAAAAAAGGCTCCCATGTGGTTGTTCTCTGTAGAAACAAATGACAGTGTGGTGGAAAATACAAAAATATGACAAAGTTAATGACAAATAAGGAACTCAGTCAGGAACGAGTTGTTTGAAATAACAGAAAATTCCATTGGGATTGACTGAAACTCTGTCCAAACAATATAGATGAGAGAAATTCTGTGGAAAACAGGCGGGAATGTGCATTTAAAGCAACAACCCCCCCTGGAGGGACAAAAGATGATAAAAACATGACGATAGCAGAAAAAAAAACTTTTTGGACAATGGGAATTCTGTGGTAAAACACAGAAACCCAGTTGAGAATAAAACAAAATGTTGGGAACATCAGTGCTTTTCAGGACAGACTCCAGATGATTTTAGGGAATCTCTGCATTCCCAGCTTCCTAACCACAGGGTCATGGTTTCTATTACGTTCCAATGTCTCTGCAACGTCTTCTATGTCCCATTCTCTGGGATTTCAACGGATTACTAATCCCTTGTTGTGTCATCAGGATAACTTTTTTCTGCTTTCAGAAAACTGTCGCCATTCGTTGATCTCATAAAATATATATTTTTTAACATTCCCAGCATTTTCTCTGCTCACCCATGAATCCATCCTGTTTCCAATATGGAGGAAATTCCTAGGGAGGAGGTCTGGGATTCTTCCCCCTTTTTCTTTAAGGACCATTTTGACAAAGGTGCTCCAAGCATGGGAGGGACCATTCTGGACAGAAAGAATGGTCAGTCAGATGTTGGAGCAGTCCCTTTAGGTCCTTGGGCCCTGTCTGCTGAGAATGACTTGTTTGGGAAGTGTCTATAACCGGATTCTCCTTTTCACTGGTCATTGGGTTTGATCCCAGATCCAGTTTCTGCTTCCTCGGCCCCAAAAGAGGTGTTGGAGAATTCTGTGACCCGTCGTGCCAGAGGGTTTGTGCTTTTCAGGAGCTCCATGGCTGAGACTCTGGCGCCCCCGCTGGAAGACTTGCTGCCTTTTTTCTGGAGCAGAGCCATGAAGTTCTCGTTGCGGGAGCTGGACCTCTGACTACTACCTAATGTCATGTTTCGGTATTCGTTGCCACCGGAGCTGTGCTTCACTGGAGACACCAGACTCTGCCGACTGCCGAAAGAGTCAGGCGGTTCCTTTCTTCCCAGAACTTTACGTTTGGACCTAAAGAAGCCAAAAATATTATGAAAGGGTTGTAGAACCATGAACAGAAAACACGACAAGAAACCAAATGTATTTCCAGCCTGAGGACCAGAAGTTAACTGTTAACTGAAGTATTGTACGTATGACCAAAGACACTTCCCCATAGTGGACACACAGAGGTACTGCCAACGTCAATCATGATGGAAATGGTTTCTCATAGACAAAATTTGTGGTTCCAGGCAGTAGTATTCCTGAATGGAGTGGCCGATACTCTGGATCCCCTAGTCTCCCCGACTACACTCTTTGTTTTCAGTCTACAGGTAAAGTGTGTGTGTGTGTGTATACCTCATACCTGTGTATAATAGTAAAGAGGTCTTCGGTGGTGTGTGTTGCAGGTGTGCTGGCCAGGAAGTCATCATCTGTGTCCTCTGCGATGTGCAGAACTGTTTTCTCACTTGAATCATCTGAGGAGAACACAGGACCAAACAGTTAAACCGATGGGTTTGTAGGACACTGTCAGTGATGCCCGTGAGCGCCCCTCGCTGATCCCTAGCTCGATTGACAGTGGATGTGAAAACATGCGGGAAAAAAAGAGGATTTCAGCCGCTGAAACACCCACTTACCCTCCCATGTCAAAGCCCATGGATAAAATGAAGGATTTTAGCTCAGAGGGACACAGACTAGGCTTCTGGTGTCGACCGGTTGTCGAATCACTGAAGTCAACAACTGTAAACACAATATACTCTATGGCCTTCGGTTTGGGACAGTTATTTGTTATTAAAGTGACATACATTTTATTTCTTTCAATACTTTGAATATACCTTGGAACACCTTTCTACAAAATACTTGAATCACAGTTCAAGCCTATATAGGTTTGATATTTCTATGGTTACTTACTTTCCTGAATCCTTGTGGTGTCCATCTTTGCTTCCAGCTCAGTGAGAGACGAATCCTGTAGGGACGACTGAAGCGACGACTCTTTTGAACTCTCTTCGTCTGGCACCATGTGGTCCACCTCAAGCTCCGGGAAGTCCGTAAAACTAGGAGCAGACGGAACATCATCTAGAGGAAAGGATTCCACTGGAAATCGAAGACCTACAGGACTGTCAGCCTGTGGCATCTGTCGGTCTGTGCTACCGTTGGTGGAAGGTTGAACTGCTGTTGGGAGAAGCAGAACATTTGGCTTCTTTGGAACAGGTGGAGGGACCTGAAAGGGGAGATAAAAACAATTTAAGGTCAGGTTCAGGACAGCGGGATAGCAGTGATGTAGTTCTGAAGGTCCTCCTGACCTTGGCCTTCTTCCTGTCAGGGAATTCTGTCATGCAGGGCATGGTCATCCTGGGGGGAAGTGTCTTGCTCTTGTTCCAAAACTCCTGGATTTCCTGGTTGCTACACGGTGAGGGGAGTGAGCCTCCTTCCTCGGGTCTAAGACATATCTCTGAGTCAGCCTCAAACTCAGGCTCTAACATCGGATCCTCCAGGAGAGGCTGTGGATCTGGGAGAGGAGGAAGATCACAGAGGGAGTTGGGGACCAGTGCGTGGTCATAGCCAGCTTGTGCCATAGGTATTGTGGTGGAAGTGTAATCCACCAGCCCTGAAGGACCTGAAGTTTGTGGTGGAGGTTTTTTGGGTTTGGGTTTCTTCATGACTTTATAGATATTACCCAAAGGCACGGGACGATCCACGGGTGAAGAAGGGGGAGAGTCTGGGGCAAGAGGTGAGGTAGAGGAAGGGGATGAAGACTTAAGGAGGAGATTCATAGGCCGTTTAGGCAAAGGGGGTTTGACTGCGACTGGTGGCTTGGGTTTGGGTAGTGTTGGTGGAGGGCTGGGATCTTCGCAAAGTTCTCTACCATGCTGCTCTTCTTCAATGGTGTCAGATGCACCATCAGGACAGTCCTCTAGGTCACTGCGTGGCACTGATCGGAGCCGGACAGTCTTTAGCTCATTCTGGGTAACCACAGGCAAAGCCTGGGAAGAACTGAGAGTGTTTTTTCCTGGTTTTGCTGCTGTGGAGGTGTCAGAATGTCGTCGACTAGCCTTTTGCTTAGGCTTGATGGATGAAAGTTCTAGATGTGCGCTACCTGGCATTTCAAAGGACAACCGAGACCTAGCATTCGGGTCTTTGGGTGAAGGTAGAGAAGATTTCCTTTCCGGGATCTTTGGGCGCATTTTACACCCTAAGGTCCCAGTGGGTCCTGGGCCTGCAGCTTGGTTAAGAGGAATGTTTGAGGTTGGAGTCTCTGACTGGCTGGAATAGCCACTGGATGGGGACATGAGTCCAGGGGGCTTGAAGGGTGAGGATGCTTTGTGGTCGTGTTCTGTTGAGAGCTGTGAAGGTGAGGTGGCTCTGGATGTAGATGGAGAATCCAAAAGGGACTCAGAGCTACCTCTGACTTTCATACATTCAATCACTGTGGTACCTGTTGCTGTGCTGGAGCCTGACAAAGACCTAAAGAAAACAAAGTTAAGTAGTTAAATACTTATAATCTTTGCCTCCTAGAAAAGACTGTGAAGTTGAATGTACTACCTGTAGGGGTCATTCTTCCACTCCCCGAGCTGCCAGTGAGTAGAGAAGGCCAGATCTGTTTCTCCTTCTCCTTCAGGAGCCTGAACCTCCAGACTTGGAGGTCCATCATTGCCTCCACTGACCAGATCCCTCTCACTGCCACTGGATTTAGAGCAGCTAGGTAGGAGAAAGTCCGGCTGGAAGTCTGGGAAATGTTCCCGCGGGATATGCAGGCTCTTTGGCCGACCGTCCCGATAAAGTCTACTCTCACTGTGGATTCTCCCTTCAGCTTCTCCAATGTTTTTCATGAGGGAGACACTTCTCACAGGAGGCGGTGGCTTGCGCTTGGACTTCTTCAAAGAAATGGAGCGGGATCGTATGCGTAAGCGTCCCTCTGTGCTATAGTCTGAAGCTGCAACAGAGATTGTGTCCGCAGTACTGGCACTGTCCTCAGAACTCCCTCTGGGGTAGAGAAGAGCGTAGTTCTCGTGGTGGTCTGTCATTACAAAAGCGTTCCCATTTCTTGAAGATATAACATTCCCGTCTGGCTGCTCCATGCCACTGTCAGTGAAGCAGAAAGAACCAGAATCCGTTGGCGTAGAAAGAGACCTCTCCCGAAACTTGAATGCATTTTGTGCTGCTATGGACCTTGCCGACCTCTCCCTGCCTCTTACTACCTCCCCGCCTCCTCCTGCACCTCCTCCTCCGCCTCTTCCTCCATCTGCTGCAGCTCCCTCTGTTTCGCTCCTCTTTCCCAACACTGGCATGGCATTTCCTCCTTTTTCTGAGGACTCGGTCACTGATGTGAAAGAGCTGGAATGGGAACTCATTGAATGTCCAGACCTCACCAACATCACTGCATCTCCCTGCAATGCCCCTCCGGTATGACCGATGATGGTGTGCTGTTTGGGAGGGACTGCCGGACCTTTGTTGGAACTGTAAGCGTACGACTCGTTCCACACACCTGGAGAAAAGGTGGATCCTTTCGGGCCGTTCCAGGACGAGCTTGAACACAGCAGGCCAGAGTGGTCCATAGTGTCTGGGTGAAGCTGATTCTGAGAGGTTTTATCTGGTAGGTGAAAGAAAAGACGAGAGATGAAGACACTGATCTATGAAGACAGGTGAACTGGCAAACCAAACATTATTTTCAGTAGATGGTTGAGCAGTAAAACCCTTAGATACTAAGGGTCGTGTGGCAGTCTTGGAGATCACCTGACGTCATTTCCTGATCTGGACTGGTTCTAATGACATCCTTGATGGTAGGACGGTCGGACCAGACTGAAGCGTTAAGAAGCCTGAGTTGTTCTGCTGGCTGCTCGTGTTGTTGTTATCAGGGAGCTAACAGCTTCACTGGTGCTGCTAAAGTTCTGCACTCTGTGGTGCTGCCAACAGAAGACAGTCTGCTCACTCGGAGCAGACTGTGTGTGAGGACTAGAGCCAGAACCAGTCAGCATTTTACTAACTCACAACTGTGGCTGAAACAATGCCCTTTTTTCAGGCAAGGTAATTGTATCTCTAAAACCCGACCCTGAGACCCAGAGAATTGAGTTTTTTGTCCCAGTGTCAACCAACTCGGACAAAGCGTTCTTTTGTCACATCCTGTGACTCCGGCACTAATGTATACATCATAAAAATGTTTTCTACCGTAGAAAGGAATTAGTAGCAGAATCCAGGGTCAGTACCAGGAAAATAACTCTGAACTAAGTGTCCCTGTTCCTGGTCTAAAGGGTCCAAACTGTGGTTCCACTGTAGCCTTGCTCTGCCTGATTAAACACTGGATTTATCTGCTGCTGCTGTTCATCCTCAGAGTCAGCAGCGGCAGCATAACTCTGCTGCTGCTGCTGCTGCTGCTGCTGCTGCTGCTGTAAATCAATGACTATCTGCAGTGAAGAGTTTCTATAGCATTTAATGAGCAGAAAAGTTTCATTTTAATCTGCTCTCTCTCTCTGTCTCTCTCTGTCTCTCTCTCTCTGTCTGAGCTACTGCACGTATGCTGTTTCAACTCACTTTAGAAGTAGTTGTTGTGTTAATCTGGCTTAGATAGAAGTCCGTGAATATTTTCTGGCTAACTTATAGCTACATTGTGCACTATTCTTAAGTATATTAAGACTAATATTACCTTTAGCTAATTTCATTTTTTTTTTTTTTTTTACTCTTCAGCTACAGGAGCTTCACGGACTCCATGGTGAGGAGGCGTTCCCTGACTCTGACCTGCAGCTGAGCTGGAGGAGTCCAGGTCTGAGTGCGTCTTCCTCAGGGGGAGGTTCTGGTGGGCGGACTCACTGACCGGCTCCAGGGAGTGAGGCTGGTGGGGGAAGGGTTCTCCTGGAGAAGGTGACGGTGACGGAGAGTGCTGGAGAAGGTCCACGCCGTGGAATTTCCCCCCTCCTCCTCCCCCTCTTCTTCCTCCTCCTTCACCTGGAGAAGAACAAGAGCAGAAGGTCAACAGGAGGAAAGAAGGAGTCAGGTTTCAGGACATTTGAGAAGAGGCCTAAAAAGCATTCAGGTGAAGAGTCTAAAACCACAGTGGACCGGTTTAATCTTTAGCCTCACTGAGTTTGGATTCATCCTGAGTCTGGAGTCCAGACACTGCACACAGAAAACGAACCTCTACGTCAGATACACATTCTCTCAACTTTTAAGGTGATCCAAAACAAAAACTTTTCTAGTCTACATCTGACCCACGTTGGATGAGATGAGTCAGTGCGCTCCACCTCTGGTATCTTCCAGTTTATTCGTGGTCTACACGCTGTTTTTTAATCTGATCATCCCGCGTCCATAAAAAGACAGATCATCTTTTTCAACAGGGCGACAGACTACAGTCAAGATCCAATGCTGTGAGATCTGCTGATAAAGACTGGAGTCAGACGTTGATATTTCACACATCATTCATCATTAATGGTGCAGCAGGGAGTCAGACAGCAAACAGCAGGAAACAAAGGGAAGGAGGTGATTTAAATATCAACTTGACTCCGTCTCTGTCTCTGTTCTGACTTTCAACAGTTTCATTTAGTCTGATCTAAAGGTGGAGCATGAAGAGAATACCAGCAAAACATATAGAGAGGAAACCGTGTCCCCTCAGTCATTCACTAGTGCATGGTGCTGCTCTGGTCTGAGTTCCTGTTAGAGGCCCGGGTCAAAGACCCTGGTACTGTTCCACTTAATGCTGCGAGGTCCTGTTGTGGAAACACGTGTAATTCCAGGAACTGTCTGTATTTCTTGGGTCTGATTTCCTTTTGTGGAAAAGGTAATGGTTCCTACTACTGAGCTTAGCACGTGGTACGAGCTCCTCCAGAAAAACATTCCTTAGTTCCTTAGACCTGTTAGCAGCTAATGGTTGCTATCAATTTGCTTTTATCTCTAAAAATATATGTTTAGCTACACTATGAACACGCAGTTCTTGGTACTGTCACTGCAGTAGAGATAATAGTAGCCTGAGGTACTGACTCTGGACCTGTTTTTCTCACAGTCAGCTTGAGTCATCAAACTGATGAGCAGAGTTAAGACATGACATGGAGACTCATTTCCTGGTTGAATGGTCTTTAAAGAGTCTCTGTCTCGTCAAACCGATCTGAATCTTTGTTATTTTTATTGATTTTGTTTTTTTTCCAGATCTTTCCGTCCAGACGGCTCTTCTCCACCTAAACATCTCCGTCTTCTCCTCCATCTAATTCAAACTGCTCCGTCGTAAACATCTCCGTCTTTTCCTCCATCTAATTCAAACTGCTCCGTCATTTGTCTTTGTCTTCTGTGTTCTCTCGTCATGTCTCCTTGGTGCATGAATAAAATTGAAGGAATAAATAAGCCAACAAAGCAGCGGAGATCAAACTGTAACTCAGTCACTGACCTGCACCATAAGCAGGTTGTCACAACATAAATCTGACAGTAATCACTGTTTACAAGTGAGGCACGTGAACATGTGAATTTACAGAAATGTTTTGTCCTCATCTGCTTCACTAAAGTGCAAACGATCGGCGTCTGTTTCCTCCAGAGACACAGGACGGTGATTCATTCATCGTTTCTCTGCAGCTCAGCTCCGACATTCACTGTTTACTGCAGATGAAGTTTCGTCTCACTGTTACACAGATGTGGACGAAGCAGGAAAACTCGCTCACTCTCCTACACCAAAGTCCATAGAGAAAATCAGTGATTTTAGCTCACAGACCAAAGTCCATAGAGAAAATCAGTGATTTTAGCTCACAGACCAAAGTCCATAGAGAAAATCAGTGATTTTAGCTCACAGACCA